TGTTCCTACAGAACAATCTCACTGGCTCTGTTAGTATGTATATATTTTTTGAGACAAGGTTTCATGTAGTCTTGAACTTGCTATGAAGCCAAGGATGACCTTGAACTTCTGAACTCCCTCTTTCACCTCTCAAGTACTCCTTGCCAGGTTTATACTACAATAGTTTTGATTGCTGATCTTACTTCTTACTTGATTTTTGCATAGGCTTGTTTTTGTATATTTTCATAGTATTAGTTACTTTTCTGTTGCTGTGGTCAAAGGCAACTTATAGAAGAAAGAGTTTATTTTGGTTTATGGCTCCAGGTTAGAGTCCATAATGCCAAGACAGCCTGAACCACACACAGCAATGACAACAGAGGAGAGTAAACTAGAAATGGTGGGAGTTCTTAAACTCTCAAACCCTCCTTCATCGACACACTTCTGTTAACAAGGCTGCACTTCCTAAACCTCCCTAAACAGTGCTGCCAACTGGGACCAAGTGTTCAAATGAATGCTAACGGGGACATGCTCATTCTAACCATGGCACAGGTGTGGATTCATCTCCTGAGTATGTTTGTTTACTGACCACCAACAGTCAGTACAACTGGTTCATCATTACAGAGGAATGTCCTTAATGTAACACCTCTGTACTTGTCCTGTACTTATCCCCTTACAACAAAATCTAATCTGGTTTTGTTCTCCATGAGACTATTATATAAGTGGAGCTCTGTACTGAATAATCTTTTGAAGATGATTTTTACCTAAGCAGAGTGCTTTTGAGTAACATTAAAGTTGTTTGAAGTAGGCTGGAGATAAGGCTCAATGGTAGGGCAGGTACCTACCATTTTCAGACCCTAGATTTCTTTTTTCTTTCCTTTCCTTTCCTGTTTTCTTCCTTTCTTTTTTTTTTTTAGATTTGTTTATTTTTATTTTATGTTCATTGGTGTTTTGCCTGCATGTGTATCTATGAAGGTGCCAGATGCCCTGGAATTGGGACTACAGACAGTTGTGAGCTGCCATGTTATTGCTGGGAATTGAACCCAGGTCCTCTGAAAGGGCAGTCAGTGCTCTTAACTACTGAACCTTCTCTCCAGTCCCCCCTAGATTTATTTTCTAATGTCTACCTCAAAACTCAATTTGGGCCAGGAGTAGTGGTACGTGCCCATAATCCCAGCACTTTGTGGGAGGCAGACAGATCTTTGTGAGTTCAAGGCCATCCTGGTCTACATAGTGAGAACCTGCCTCAAAACCAAAACAGAAAACCCACCCATGCAAATTGTTGTAATCCTTTGTTTTACTTTTCAGTATTCTATTGTGTAGTTGGGCCACTATTTCTTTATCTGCTAGCATGTTGATGGATTGCATTTGTAGTTTTATTTTTTTGAGACAAGCTCTTGTTATTCAGCTCAGGCTGGCTTGCAGCTTTGTTCCTTAGCTTCCTGAATGCTTGAGTAGAGGTATGAGCTATGAGGCTGGCCTAGATTTTGCTCTTGGTGTCATCTAACAACTTTTCACTTATCGCTAGGTCTTTAAGATTTTCTCCTATTCTCCTATTTTATTTCATTTATTTTTTTAGTTTTGGGGTGTGTGTGTGTGTGTGTGTGTGTGTTAGAGAGAGAGAGAGACCTTACATATCCTCAAGTGTGTATGAGTCATAGGTTGTATGTGGAGGTTAGAGGTCATCTTCCAGGAGTCAGTTCTCTTTCCAACACCTCTCCTACGTTTTTGTTTTATTTTGTTTTGATTTTTGGTTTTTTGAGACAGGGTTTCTCTGTGTAGCCCTGGTTGTCCTGGAACTTGCTCTGTAGACCAGGCTAGCCTCGAACTCAAAAGATCAGCCTGCCTTTACCTCCTGAGTGCTGGGATTAAAGGGTATCACCACTGCCCAGCTCTCCTATGTTTTTTAAAAAATTGTGGGCTGGGGATTTAGCTCAGTGGTAGAACGCTTGCCTAGCAAGTACAAGGCCCTGGGTTCAGTCCTCAGCTCTGAAAAAAAAAATTGTGTAGATTTATAGTTTACATCTAAACCTTTACTCCAATTTGGAGTAATTTGCATACAGCCCAGGGGGTAGTCATTATTTTATTTATTTAGTCTATGGATGTGTACTTGTAATATAATTGATTGAGAAGTTGTTACTGCAGTGAATACCTTTTGTATGTTTGTAAAGTCAGTTTATTATATATGTGGTGGTTTATTTCTGGATTCTCTTTGTTCTGTTCTGATAACATAACGGACTGTCCTGCTGCTGCCTTACTGCCTTCATTACTGAGCGATATTGTAAGACTTAGTATTAGATTGAGTAGTTCTTTATTTCTTTTCTTCTGTTTCAAAGTTTTTAGTATTCTAGCTCCCTTCCCATATAAATTTTAGGATGAGCTTTTTTATATATAGGAAACTTATTTTTTGTAAATGTTAAAACTGCATGAAACTTACAGATCAGAAAGAAAAATGCCTATTAATGCAATCATTTTCATATTCACCACAACCAAACATTTCTGATACCTTATTTGTAGGGTGTTTTCTCTACATACCAAGAATTCTCCAGCAGAAACCAGCTGAGTGTCCTACAGTTCAACTTAACCTCTGTACATACAGTACCTGGAGTTAGCCTTTGGTCCCACAAGTCAAGGCTTAATCTAATACTTCCCCTATTTCAAAAGCAAATCTCAAGCTTCAGGTTATTTTTGGTTGTAAGCATAGCTTTATTGGCTGAGAGCTCCCAGGTTATTTAATCTGTGTTTCTGACTCACTGGCTGTGGTTCTCCTGACTCCCTCTTTATGTTCAATAATTGGCTAGGATGGCTCAGAGAACTCTGTGTTTACCTATTTATTATAAAGGATGTAACAGTGGATAGAGGTGAATAGCTGGATAAAGAGAGTGAGGTATCTGGGAATGTAACAGAATGCCCTTAAAATTGGGGATTTAAAGGAGGAGTGCACATTTTTTATCCCTTCTAACTTTATTTTGTTCCGTTAACCTGTTTTCTGAGTTACTTCTCTTCTATAGCTTCCTGTAGGCAGTCCTCTCCTACTTAGAATAGCAATGGTTGTTTCTCTGGTCCAGGAGGACCCCAGCAGAACACTGAAACCAGAAATGCACTCAGAATCATAGCCTTCTGAGATTGCTGTGCATGTGTAGACTTTCTGGCTCCCTGCTCTTGTCCTCCCCTTTAGAATCATGAAGATCCTGTCCTAAGGGACAAGCTTCTATAGACAGCTGCTTTTTCAGTCTAGCTAAACTTAAACTCTTCTTGCTTCACCATGTCTATATTTCCACTGATTGGATTCTTGAGGTGGCTGGTCCCTTGACGAGCCTCTTAACAGGAATGAACATGGAATTTTTTTCATGCCTTTTTTTGGACACATCAGCCTCCAGGCACTGCCATATATTTAGCCCTTAAAAGCTGTCTGAAGCCGGGCGGTGGTGGCGCACGCCTTTAATCCCAGCACTCGGGAGGCAGAGCCAGGCGGATCTCTGTGAGTTCGAGGCCAGCCTGGGCTACCAAGTGAGTTCCAGGAGAGGCGCAAAGCTACACAGAGAAACCCTGTCTCGAAAAAACCAAAAAAAAAAAAAAAAAAAAAAAAAAGCTGTCTGAATCCTGTAGTTCAGTGATTTTTATGAAAGCTTCATTCATGAAAGCATGATTGATTATTAGCACAATTTGTAGCCTGGGGAGTGAGATACAAAGTTCTCGGTTTCTGATCGTGGCATAGTCTTCATTGTAATTAATTTTCATTCAGAGTTTCAGTAGGAGTCTCCTCATTAAAACAAAAAACAATATATCATTTAGGAAATTCCAAGGGAGTATGAACTTTTTTTTTTTTTTTTTTAAATCAAGAATTGGGATAAAAACTAAGGGAGAGGGCTGGAGAAATAGCTCAGCAGTTAAGAGCACTGGCTGCTCTTTCAGTGGAGGCTCATAACCATCTGTAACTCCAGTTACAGGGGGTCTTAACCCTTTTCTGGGCCTCTCTGAGCACCAGGCATACATGTGGTACACAGACATGCATGGATGTCCTGAAACTCACTATGTAGACCAGGCTGGCCTCCAACTCATAGAGCTCTTCCTGCCTCTGCCTCCTGGGTGTGCTGGGAATAAAGGTGTGTGCCACCATACCCAGCAGATAATTGATTTTTTAAAAACGTGTGTGTGTGTGTGTGTGTGTGTGTGTGCATGTGTGTATGTATGTGTATGTGTATGTTTGGCTTGCATGCATGTCTGTGTATCATTTGTGTTTCTGGTATGTAGATGTATCCAACCTTCTTATTAAATAAGAAACACAGAACCAATGCAAAGAAGAAAGCCAAGAGGTCAGAGCTAAGAGCTAAAACCTTACCCTTCCTCCTGCGGTGGTCCTACCTCTCCGAACCAGAGCTACCCCTGTGTTAAAGTCTTTTTATAGAGTTCCTGTCCTGCCTTCTCATTGGTTGTAAACCCAACCACGTGACCGCCTCCTCACGGCCTGTCTGTATAGACCTCCAGGTTTTCCATGATTGGTATTAAGATTAAAGGCATGTGTATCCAATAATGGCTGTATCCCTGAACACACAGAGACTTACCCAGCTCTGCCTACTAAGTGCTGGAATTACAAGCGTACACTACCACTGCTGTGCTTTCCTATGGCTTGCTAATAGCTCTGACCCCCGGGGCAACTTTATTAACATACAAATAACATTTTAATACAAATAAAATATCACCATACTGGTACCTGCTGAAGTTAAGGAAAGCATCAGATCACCTAGGACCTGGAGTTGTTGTGAGCTGCCATATGGGTGCTGGAAATCAAACCCAGCAGAGCCATCTCTCGAGCCCCGCAATCATTATGTTTTTTTCTCTTCTGAGGCTGAGTGTCTTGAGGGAGATAGTTAGATTATGTAGGACCTGGTACACAGAAAACTTCTAATTAATGTTTGTTGAACAAATATTTAAATGTCTTTTTGTAAGAAGCCTTGGGAAAACATTTCCTGACAAGAGGTATTGTAACCCAAGTTGAATAAATGGGAGCCTCTGCTTTCATGTGCAGGTGTACAAACATTTTTATTATAGTTTACAAATATTATGTGCTTTTTTATTTAACATAATATTTTTATTGATTATTTGGAAATTTCACATAATGCACCCTGATCACATTCACTTCCAGTCCTCCTAGATCCACCCTCACCCTTGTGATCTCCCCTAAAACAAAACAAAAAAAGAAAAAAATTACCGAGTCTCATATATTCACATCTTCCCATAGGACCTGCGCTTTTCTGGTTGTTCCAGAGACACTGCAGTCTCTTGCAGACTCCACTACTACCAGTACAGCCTCTTTCTACTCCTCTCCCCTTGGAGCCTCCAGGGGTCTCTTGTGGTCACATGCTTCAAGTTTTCATCTTTGGCAATTACTTGCTCCTCCATGCACTCCAGCAGCTTGTAGGTGGGATAGATGTTGCGATGGACAGACTCAGCACTGCATCTGGGCCCAGTTGGCAGCCAAGTTGGTCACCCTGGGTCTTCCAAGCAGCCACCCCTTATTTTGTGTTTTTTTTTTTGTTGTTGTTGTTTTATTACTTTTCTTTCTCTGAATTTGTGCTTAATTGAAAAATTAATTCTTGGTTCATTGCATGTGGCTTAGTTAATTTTGCTTCTGTATGTTTAAAATATATCTCATGTGGCTGGGCTGAGAATAGTCTTGAACTTCTGGTCTTTTTGCCTCCTCCATCTCCTGAGTTCCATGGGATTACAAATGTGCACCACCACCATTAGTTTTCCTCATTTAATTATTCTAAAATAGATTACTTCCCAGACTCCTGAGCACCTCTGTAGATTCTTCTCCTTTGTTCCTGACCTTTAATCTTTACTTCCCTCTAAGTATAGACTTCATAGCTGAGTAACTTATTCTTTTCACATTATGATAATCTTTTTCTTCATATTTTTTGGTCAGTATATCTTGTAAATTTTTCTGGCAACATTTTTATCTCTGTCTTACCAAGACCTGTTAAAATCATACAGGGGAGCAGATTGTTGGTCCTTTAAGTTTGTTTTATGTTTTGAGATTGAAGTGTAATTACATAATTTCCCCCTTCCCTTCTTCCCTCCATTCTTTCCCATGTTCCTTTGCTCTCTCAAATTTATGGCCTCTATTTCTTTGACCTCCCCCCTCCGTGTGTGTGTGTGTGTGTGTGTGTGTGTGTGTGTGTGTGTGTGTGTGTGTGTTCGTTCCCAAATACATGAATACAACCAGCTCAGTCTGTGTAATGTTACTTGTTACATGATTTCAGGGCTGACACTTGGCATTGGATAACCAATTTGGGAGCTCTTTCCCCTACTCTCAGCATTCCTTAGTTGTCTGTAGTTCTATGTCTATGGGTGAGACCTCATGTGACTTCTCCATTTTGTGTTAGAATGCCTATTGATGTCCTCCTTGTTTAGGCAGAAATGTTAATACTTCATGGGCTTAGCTTCTCTGACATTTCTAGGAGATGAAATGTCATAGCAAACTTGTTGTTTCTCTGACTCTCACAGTCTTTTTTACCTGCTCTTCAGCAATGATTCCTGATCTTTAGATGTAGGAGTTATATTGTAGATATATTAGTTGGAGCTGGACACCATATAGTCACTTGCTTTCTGCATTTTGATCAGTTCTGGTTTCTGTAATGGGCTCTTTCTGTTGTAAGGACATACCACTTTGATGAGTGCTGTATTCTATAAAATCTTGATAAATGTTAGATTTCAGTGTTTTTCACTAGTAATCATTGTTACTGTGTTTTCTCCTTCCTTCCTTCCTTCCTTCCTTCCTTCCTTCCTTCCTTCCTTCCTTCCTTCCTTCCTTCCTTCCTTCCTTCCTTCCTTTCTTTTTTTAAATTTTCGAAACAGGGTTTCTTTGTGTAACCCTGGCTGTCCTGGAACTCACTTTGTAGACCAGGCTGGCCTTGAACTCACAGAGATCCGCCTGCCTCTGCCTCTTGAGTACTGGGATTAAAGGCGTGTGCCACCACTACCTGGCTAACCTGAATCTTCTTGTTTGTATTTTCACTTTCCAATTCTCTTAGTTCTTCTCAATCTCTGATATTCTTGCTATTTGATAATTTTCTTATTTTACAGAACAAATTGCTGTGATTTGGAAGCTTTAGCTCCTTTACTGTGAGGTTAAACTTATACTTCTTTAAATATTCCTCCTCTTGTCTCTGTCCATATTCTGGATCCCATCCCTTTTACCCAACATTCATTTGTTTGACTGTGAAAGTAGGAAAGAGTCCAGTGGAGGGGCTGGAGAGATAGATGGTTTAGCACTGTCTCCTCTTCCAGAGGACCTGGGTTTTGTTTTCAGAATCCACATGGTGGCTTACAGCTCTCTGTAGCTCCAGTGTTAGGGATCCAACACTGTCTTCTAGCCTGCAGGTGGGGAACATACTACATGAAGACAAAATACTCATGCATGTAGTAATACTCATCACATAAAATAATAAATTAAAATTCAGTGGAAGCTGTCTAGTTGTTTCTATTTACTCTCTTAAAGTTCTCATCTCATACTCACTGTGTAACCCACTGTTTCTGCACATTGGCTCCTACCACCCATGCACCCACCCCCTAAACTACTATTCAAAAGATACCAGAAGCTTCTAAAACTGTACATTCAAGGGTCTTCTTTGGAAGTGGGCCTCTATGAAACTTGTTTTATTGTTGACTGTGTTTTTTTTCCCCCATAGCATTCAGTCTTGGGTTTCTTCCTACTTCTCTGATAACTCATCTTCAGTTTCCTGCAGTTTAATCAGTAGTAAATACTATAAATATACTATAAATACAGATACTATTTTAATACTGAATTTTTTTTTTTTTTTTCGAGACAGGGTTTCCTTGTGTAGCTTTGCGCCTTTCCTGGAACTCGCTTTGTAGACCAGGCTGGCCCCGAACTCACAGAGATCCACATGCCTCTGCCTCCCGAGTGCTGGGATTAAAGGCGTGTGCCACCACCGCCCAGCTTAATACTAAACATTTATTTGAAGGCTGCAAAGTTTTTTTTTTTGTTTTTTTTTTTTTTTGTTTTTTCGAAACAGGGTTTCTCTGTGTAGCTTTGCGCCTCTCCTGGAACTCACTCGGTAGCCCAGACTGGCCTCGAACTCACAGAGATCCGCCTGGCTCTGCTTCCCGAGTGCTGGGATTAAAGGCGTGCGCCACCACCGCCCGGCAGAAGGCTGCAAAGTTTTAAAAAAATAAACTTTAATAAAATGTTAGGTTGTAAAGAATCCAAGTTGTAAGAGGAAATTTGGGGCAGAGTTTAAGAAGCATCAGTGGGATGGCTCAGTAAGTAGAAGTACTTACTGTCAAGCCTAACAATGATCTGAATTTAATCCTTGGAACCTACATGGTAGCGGAGATAACCTATTCAGGCAACTGCGTGCATATCCCTCCCCCTCAAATAAACAAATGTTTTTTTAAAAAGGGACCTGGAGAGATGACTCATTGGTTACAATTGCTTAACTGTTCCTTCTGAAGACCTGGGTTTGGTTTCCAGTACCCATATGGCAGCTCACAAACACCTCTAACTCTAATTACAGGGTATTTGACACCTCTGGCTCCTGTGCGCCCCTGCACAAAGGTGCACATGACTCATACAGGTACACACATACATAAATAGAAGATAAATCTCAAAAAAGAACTTTTTTAAAAATTGATATTTATCATTTCAGTGACCCTTTCTAACCTTATAAGGTAAGTAGTTGTATTCCTGCTTAATCAGCAAGTATTTGAGGGGGGAATATGTTCAGAAACAATGTATTATTCTTTCTAATTGGAAGACTAAGTTACAGTAAGGGATAGAGATAAAATCCTCTCTTTTGTAGATTATGGGGGCTCTAAATACCAAGGAAAGGAGCTGTTATTTAGTGTGTTTTTACATAGTGCTGAGTCTAAGTTGCTTTTATTTTATTTATTTATTTTTAAACAAAAACAGGGTTTCACTATGTATTCCTGGTTTGCTTGTAACTCTCTTAGACTTGCTATTATCTACCTGCCTCTGCCTTCTGAGGGCTGGGATTAAAAGTTTGTGCCACCATGCCCAGTTGAAAGGTTTTCAGTCCTGCACACGCTTTAGGTATGAAGTCTTGTTATCAGCAAGCACTGGTACTTCTAGAACATTAATTTCAGTAACCAGATGACTGGAAATCTTTTTCCCGCTTACTCAGCGTACTGACGCCTCTTAACCCCTGTACACTATGTTTTGTACCTGATACAGAATTTGTGTTAGGTCATTACTTATTTCTCTTTGGCTTCACTGTGGATTTGAGCTTTTCTCGAAAATACTCAGAAGTTTGTTAGTAATTGGTCATTATAATCTTTTCCATCTCTATCTCAGGAGTTAGGATAATAAATGATTCCTTAGTTTGGAATCTTTGATCTGAACAGTTTATCAGAATGGCCCACGCCTTCAATCCCAGCACTTGGGAGGCAGAGGCAGGCGGATCTCTGTGAGTTCGAGGCCAGCCTGGTCTACAGAGCGAGATCCAGGATAGGCACCAAAGCTACACAGAGAAACCCTGTCCCAAAAAAACAAACAAACAAAAATTTTACAAATTGGATTTGAATAAATTAGATATTATTCCTTCTTGATTTTTGCTCATATAAGTTTTGGGTAGTAAAGCTATTTTGATAGATTCTATGGCTTTAAAAGTCTGTGGCTTTGCAGATAGTAATATACCATGTTGCATACTTTATGCAGATCAGCTGTCTGCTCAGGTCTTGTTTGTTTTCCCCATAGATCTAATCTAGTTGTTTAAAGCAGGAGATGGAAGAAGGAGATTGGATTTCTGCACTGGTTGTGTTAAAGGATTTAAATTTTTCTGATGAACAAAAGAGAGGTGCATTTTATTTTCTGTGCTATTTTCAGCAGTGAGGCTAACTCTTGTTGCTTGAGTCGGTTTATAAGAGGACCAGAAAAAGATCTCTTAAATAGAACTTGCTTTAAGCCCCAGGCTTGACTACAGCTGTTACAGCTCTAGGAGGGACTTTTCCTCCTCATGGGGACAGACTGAATCTGCCCTATAGCTATTGCTGTTCTTACTCCTTAGAGAATATGAAAGGCTGAGTTAGGTGTTGTGTACATGTCTTTCTCTGTCAAAATAGAAAATTTGGGTTAATTCCTGGAATCCTTTGTGAGTTAATTTTTGTAATGTGTATTACAGTTTGAAGAACAATGGTTATAAATTAGGAGATAATATATTGTCTTGATTATATAGTCCTACTTTCACAAATTTCCCTGTGATTTATTAGAAAAATCACCAACTTCAATTTCCCAGTGTTTACTAGGATTTTAACAATTCCTACAATACTAGAAATCTTAAACACTTACAAATATTTAAGTGACAGAATCCTATCATAAGAGCTAATTTTTTTTTTGCCCTTGATATTTTAAACAGTGTGTTTTGATTCATGAATTAAGGAATAGACATCCTTAAACTTGGCTGAAGTCCTACTTTAAGTATGGTGGGCAGTGACCAAAGAAAGAATTCTGAGCTATTTATAGCTTGGGTGAAGCTAAGCTTTTGCTTGCTGTGTCCTTTTAGACATCTGGAGGAATGGGGAGCATTTCCTGTGGCAGCACGGTCAGTGATGAATAGATGAATGAATTCATCCGTGCTCAGAACTCACAACACGCGTACTTTCTCCTCACAAGCACATAAAAGAGCAATGAGACCAACCTTAGCAATGATCCAGGCTTCTGGTGGAGAGAAAGGCTTTGGGACTGTCCAAAAGAAGATCTGCGTATCTAGCGATAAAGAAACAAAAGAGCCTGTGACAGTATCGAAAGAATCTGACATTTGCTTTGTCTGTACAAAGGATGAAAGGAATTTTGCCGACTTAGCTAAAACAATAACTGGTTTTGTATGAGTTTGAGCCTGAAAACAGGCAGCAGAATAATATGTTTTTTTTTTTTCCCCTGAAGAATTGTTTACCTTAAGAAATGGATGTGGAGCGGTTTTATTTTTGGAAAGGAAAACGTGACACAGATTTTATAAGCTTAGTAGCTGTAGGTGGAGACTCTTGTTTTGTTTGCCAAACCTTTTTAATAAGCAGTGAAGTCTGGATAGCAAAGATTGGAATTGCTTTTCCTAGGATCTTTGTTCTTTCCTTGGCATTTAAGATAATTTCAGACAAAGGAAGCTATGTATGGAAAAGAAAAGCAAATATCAAATATTTTCTCTGTTTTTGCTTTGTGTCTAGTGAGAGCTTTCTGTATGTTTTATATTAGGTGATAATTGTGTCCTGATGCTGGCTGGGTTAGCAGTGTGGTGGGTTATTGGGCATAGCCTGCTGTGCTGAATGGACTACACCTCTGTATTCAGCAGTAAGTAGGCGATAGTAGTTGGTGTCTGGGGAGTGGCTTTCTTTTTTTCTTTTCTTTTCTTTTTTTTTTTGTCTGATCTTTGCTATGGATGATTCCAGTATTCTGAGAAGGAGAGGGTTGCAGGTGAGTCAAAGAAAGCCTTTTTAAAAAATACTATTAGCACGTTTTGAAGATGTATCCGATTGCTGCAATTTTATTCAGTGCATGGGGGAAGGGGAGTGTCATTAAGTTCTTTATTCTGTCATATATACTTAAGAGTAGAGAATTTTTTTTAGACCTTGTTACTCTGTTTTGTTTCTTTTGTTTTGTTTTGAAATGAGGTCTTGCTGTGTTAGCTCAGGTTGGTCTGGGGAACAAGAGACAGATTTTACTCCGTGTCTTGAATTTTTTTTTTCTTCCTTAATGTTTACTGGCTTGAGGACAGCTTTTGGAAGACTTACCTGAGGGCAGGCTATAAACTGATCTCTGGCTCAAGAGCCATCTTGACTATTGTAAACTTATTTGCATGGATCCTAGCCTGCTTCCAGACTGGTCTGTGCCTTTCACGGCATCTTGAGAACGAGTCGGAGGAGTTAAGGATTACAGGATTGTTACCACACCTTGCTTAGCTATTACTACTTTGATTGAAAAATGCTGCTTGGATTTACTTGCATTGAATTAAATGAGTGGATCAATTAAATCAAACCTATGTAGGATACAAACCTAATTTTGAGCATTAGATATGTAAACAATCTGTTTCTGACCATCATGCTTGTCCCTGCCCCATGATGAAGTCATATGTGTGTGTGTGTAACATTTGATTTTGTATAAAATATTAAAAACTTTTCTAAATCTTTGCTTTGCATATATGTCATCCATTTATGTCTGCTTGTGTATATCTATGTTTGTCCATTTATCCATCTGTCCATCCATCCTCCGTCTTCCTCAGTTTCTAAATATTTGGTACATGAAAAGGCAAATAAGGTATTTAAGAATGAGAGGAAATGCAAAGACTGATAGGCAACTTTAAATTGAATTTTAATGAATACCTTTAGCATTAAAATAACTTGTCAAATTCTTTCAAATTTGGTGATGTTTATCATACACTGTAAATCAGATCATCTTGTCCTACTCTTACTGGTAAAGAACAAGCCAGCTAGCTCCTCACTGGATGTTTTTGAGAATTGACACAATGATGATTCCAACTTGAGGTGGTCTAGTTGTGAAAAACAATCTTTAGTTTGGCTTATTTGACATTTGTCAAACTATCCCTGCACACCCCAAAAAGCACATTGGGTCCTCTTAATTCCTGTGAATTAATTTTATTTTGATTTCTTTAGTGTGTTCAGAAAGAATGTGTGTAGGATAGGATTAGTAAACTTAAAACTTAAGTTGAAACAAATGGTATTTGTAGTTATGATTATACTTTTTATTCTTTGTGTGCGTGTGTGTGACATTGTGTAGTGAGGGAAGTCATCAGATCCCTCAGAACTAGAGTTATGTGTGGTGGTATTGTGTTCCCCCAAAATATTGTGCACGCTAATAAACTTATCTGGGGTCAGAGAAGAGAACAGCCACAATATTAAACATAGAGGATAGGCAGTAGTAGCACATGCCTTTAATCCTAGCATTCTAGAGGCAGAAATTCCTCTGGATCTCTGTGAGTTCAAGGCCACATTGGATACAGCCAGGCATGGTGACTCACGCCTTTAATCCCAGAAAGTGAGCCTTTAATCCCAGAAAGTGAGGGCAGATAGCAGAAAGGTATATAAGGCGTGAGGACCAGAAACTAGAAGCATTTGGCTAGTTAAGCTTTTAGGCTTTGAGCAGCACAGTTCAGCTGAGATTCATTCTGGATGAGGACTGAGAAGCTTCCAGTCTGAGGAAACAAGATCAGCTGAGGAAATGGCGAGATGAGGTGGCTGTGGCTTGTTCTGCTTCTCTGATCTTCCAGTATTCACCCCAATGCTTGGCTTCAGATTTGTTTTAATTAATAAGACCTTTTTTTTTTTTTGGTTTTTCGAGACAGGGTTTCTCTGTGTAGCTTTGCGCCTTTCCTGGAACTCACTTGGTAGTCCAGGCTGGCCTCGAACTCACAGAGATCCGCCTGGCTCTGCCTCCCGAGTGCTGGGATTAAAGGCGTGCGCCACCACCACCCGGCTAATAAGACCTTTTAAGATTACTGCTACAGGCCGGGCGGTGGTGGCACACGCCTTTAATCCCAGCACTCGGTAGGCAGAGGCAGGCGGATCTCTGTGAGTTCTAGGTCAGCCTGGTCTACAGAGCGAGATCCAGGAAAGGCGCAAAGCTACACAGAGAAACCCTGTCTCGAAAAACAAACAAACAAACAAAAGATTACTGCTACAGTTATAGGCATTTGTGAGCCACCAGATGAAGTGCCAGGATCCAAACTCCAGTCCTCTGAGGGAGCAATAAATGCTCTTAACCACTGTGCCATCTCTCCAGCCTCAGAAGCCATCACAAACCCCTGTGGGTTCCATTGTCTCCTGCAACAGTTGATTACTGAGTTGTCAGTTGATGTCTCAGGGAAATTCTGAAATACATTTCAGAAGTATTCAGAAGACGCCCTCATAAGTAGTGGTGTATATGAAAGTATAACTGCTAATTAAAAATGATTGGTTCCATAAGCATGCTTAATTGTATTTCCTAATATATATGTATTTCTCTTTAGTGGCTGGGATTTACAAATGGAATCCTATTCCCGTGGTGGAATTTTAGGTTTTTTTTTGTTTGTTTGTTTGTTTTGCCTGTTTTATGTTAGTTAAATCAAGCCTCTTATTTTTCCTCTACTGACTGAGTCATTCTCCAAGATCGACTACTTTGTTTATTGAAGCCCACCCCCCCTTTTACGCACATTACAATATATAATATAAACATTCAAACAGAAAAGTAAGCCTTCCTCCTCTGCATTCTCCTCCCCGGACCCCAGAGGCAACAGCCAGTACCTGTTCCAGAAGGTGCGTCCTTCCGGAAGCTTTTCTGCAGGCTCCCATGTAATCCAGCCTCAGGTTTTTTTTTTTTGAACATAAAAACATGTTATAGCCGGGCAGAGGCAGGTGGATCTTTGTGAGTTCGCGGCCAGCCTGGTCTAGAGAGCGAGATCCAGGAAAGGCGCAAAGCTGCACAGAGAAACCCTGTCTCGAAAAACCTAAAAAAAAAAAAAAAAAAACAAAAAACAAAAAAAAACAGGTTATAATTTAAAAGTCCAGGGTTATTTTAAACAGTAAAATAGTTTCTCTGTAGAAAATAGTATAAATGATAACATTTCCCAATAGGCCCTTTTAAGCCAAATGATAGCTAAATTATACATATAAATATTGATTAGATTCTGGGATACAGAAGAAACCTATCTTCATCTGTTCAGAGAGCTATGTTTTACTTAAGTTGTGTAGGTGAGATTCCAATTCATCTTCCCCTTCACTGTTTGATTTATGGCAGAAATTTTTCTATAGGCTAATCCATAGTCTAAAAAGATTTTAGCCTCCCCTTCTGAAAATACGGCCAGCATTTTCTTTCATCAGCTTATCCTTATCTTTCTTACTTCTTATCCTAGTAGGGAAATGTTTCACTAAAGCTTGCCCTGTGATTGGGTAAAACCAAAACTTACTATAAGCCAGTCATCCTAGGGTCTCGAGACCCCTGCTAGGTAGTCTCCCTGGTTCTGTGAGTTGCAGTCTGATTGTTCTTTGCTTTATATCTAGTATCCACTTATGAGTGAGTACATACCATGTTTGTCCTTCTGGGTTTGGGTTACCTCACTCAGGATGATATTTTCTAGTTCCATCCATTTGCCTGCAAATTTCATGCTGTCATTGTTTTTCTCTGCTGAGTAGTACTCCATTGTGTATATGTACCACATTTTCTTAATCCATTCTTCAGTTGACGGGCATCTAGGTTGTTTCCAGGTTCTGGCTATTACAAATAATGCTGCTATGAACATAGTTGAGCATGTATCTTTGTGGTATGATTGAGCATTCCTTGGGTATATGCCCAAGAGTGGTATGGCTGGGTCTTGAGGTAGATCGATTCCCAATTTTCTGAGAAACCACCATACTGATTTCCACAGTGGTTGTACAAGTTTGCACTCCCACCAACAGTGGAGGAGTGTTCCCTTTGCTCCACATCCTCTTCAACATAGACTGTCATTAGTGTTTTTGATCATAGCCATTCTGACAGGTGTAAAATCTCAGAGTCGTTTTGATTTGCATTTCTCTGATGACTAAATGCAAATGTTGATGTTGAGCATTTCCTTAAATGTCTTTCAGCCATTTGAGAGTCTTTTGAGAATTCTCTGTTTAGTTGTATAGCCCATTTTTAAATTGGATTGTTCAGTATTTTGATGTCTCGTTTCTTGAGTTCTTTATATACTTTGGAGATCAGTCCTCTGTCAGATGTGGGGTTGGTGAAGATCTCCCATTCTGTAGTCTGTCTTTTTGTCTTATTGACCATGTCTTTTGCCCTACAAAAGCTTCTCAGTTTCAAGAGGTCCCGTTTATTAATTGTTGCTCTCAGTGTATGTGCTGTTGGTGTTATATTTAGGAAGTGATCTCCTGTGCCAGTGCATTCAAGAGTACTTCCTACTTTCTCTTTTATCAAGTTCAGTGTAACTGGATTTATGTTGAGGTCTTTGATCTACTTGGATTTGAGTTTTGTGCATGGTGACAGGTATGGATCTATCTGCAATCTTTTACATGTTCACATCCAGTTATGCCAGCACCATTTGTTGAAGATACTTTCTTTATTCCATTTTATAGTTTTGGCTTCTTTGTCAAAAATCAGGTGTTCATATGTGTGTGGATTAATGTCAGGGTCTTCAATTCGATTTCATTGGTCTGTATGTTGGTTTTTATGCCAGTACCAAGCTGTTTTTATTACTATAGCTCTATAGTAGAGCTTGAGGACAGGGATGGTGATGCCTCCAGAGGTTGCTTTATTGTACAGG